TAGTGTTACAAATCCACCTTCACGGCTGCCCACATTTCTCCCACGCCCGCAGCGCCCTCTTCGGATTGATACACCGCCCCAGGGACTTTGCTTCCTACATGCTGGGCATCTTCATCTGCAACCTTTTGCTGTACCTGGCCTTTTACATCATCATGAAGGTAAGAGCGAGCGCCGGGAGCCCCTGCGTCGGGCCCTCGGGCAGGCGAAGGCGGAGACCCGTAAGGCCGCATCTGCTTCTTCCCCGGCAGCTCCGCAGCTCTGAGAAGGTGCTCCCCGTCCCGCTCTTCTGCATCGTGGCCACCGCTGTGATGTGGGCTGCCGCGCTGTATTTTTTCTTCCAGAATCTCAGCAGCTGGGAGGTAAGAGGCCAGTTTTCTTACCCAAAAAGAACTTCTCTCTCCAACTTGCCATTTTGGCCTTTCTACCTGTCCCTCTCTTAATGTGTTTTCACAGTGTCTAAAAGGAAAGTTTTCTCTACCAGGGATGGTTTTTAACAGCCATGCATAAATGCACACTAACTGCGTGTGGTTATTATTCTCAGGGTGGCCCTTTATAAATCTGTGAGCACTATCGACATTGCAAACTTGGTCTTCATTGCATGTTGTATTAGGACGCTGGTCCCAGTGGATGCTTAACGTGGTCAAACGCCTGGAGTAGCGCATCTCCTCATCTTTCTCATAATCTCCATCCATCAACAAATACCCAGGCCGCGCGCGGTGGCTCACGCCTGTAATCCCAGCACTTTGGGAGGCCGAGGCGGGTGGATCACGAAGTCAGGAGTTCGACACCAGCCTGGCCAACATAGTGAAACCCTGTCTCTACTAAAAATACAAAAAAAGTTAAGCAGGCGTGCTGGCGGGCGCCTGTAGTCCCAGCTACTCGGGAGGCTGAGGCAGGTAAATGGCTTGAACCCGGGAGACAGACCTTGCAGTGAGGCGAGATCGCGCCACTGAACTCCAGCCTGGGCAACACAGCGAGACTCCATCTCAAAAAAAAAAAAAAAAAAACAAATACCCAAGCTCACGTAACATTACATCCCATCCATAGATAGCAGAGCCGAAGCCTAAGAAATTACTGATATATCTGAGGCACAGAACAGGAAGAAGTCTTAGCATTCCATCACCACAGTCACCACAATAGATTTTAGAACATTTCTGTCACTCCAGAAAGAAACCTCATACACATCAGCATTCATTCCTCACTTCTCCCTAACCCCTTCGCCCTAAGCAACTACTAAATCTACCTTTTGTCTCTGTATATTTGCTTATTCTGGACATTTCATGTAAATGGAATCACACAATACACGGCCTTTGTGTCTGACTTCTTTCCCTTATGTGTCCTAGGTTCAAGCACGCTGTAACATACATAGTACTTCATGTCTATTCATTGCTGAATAATATTCCATTGTACTGATATACCACATTTTATCTACCTGCTCATCAGCTGATTGACAGTTGGATTGTTTCTATTTTTTGTGTCTTTGTGAGTGATGCTGCTGTGAATATTTGTGTACAAGTTTTTTTCTTGAGGTAAAATATACGTATAAAATTTGCCATCGTTACCATTTTAAAGTGTGCCATTCAGCGGTCATAAATACACTTAAATTCATAAATACATAAATACATTCTTTTGTTTTTCCCCTCATCTCCCTCTCCCCCCACCCTTCCTGGACTCTGGTAACTACCAAACTATTCTCTGTCTTCATGGGATCCACTTTTCTAGCTGCCTCATATGAGTGAGAACATGCAATATTTGTCCTTCCGTGCTTCACTTATTTCACTTAACATAATGGCCTCGAGTTCCATACGTGTTGTTACAAATGGCAGGATTTTATTCTTTTTTATGGCTGAGTAGTATTTTTTTGTGTTTGTATGTATATGTACACTGCCTGTGTAGATATGTGTATCATATTGTCTTTGTCCTTACCTCCGTTGATGGGAACTTAGATTGATTCCATATTTTGCCTATTGTGAACAGTGCTGTAATAAACATGGGAGTGCAGATAACTCTTTGACACACTGATTTCTTTTCTTTGGGATATATATCAAGTAATAGAATTGCTGAATCATATGGTAGCTCTATTTTTTCTTTTTTCTGTTTTTTGTTTTTGTTTTTGTTTTTGTTTTTTGTTTTTAGAGACGGGGTCTCCCTCTGTCTCCCAAGCTGGAGTGCAATGGCATGATCTTGGCTCACTGAAACCTCCGCCTCCCAGGTTCAAGTGATTCTCCTGCCTCACCCTCCTGAGTAGCTGGGATTACAGGCACCCGCCACCATGCCCAGCTAATTTTTTTTGTATTTTTAGTAGAAATGGAGTTTCACCATGTTGGCCAGGCTGGTCTCAAACTCTTGACCTTAGGTGATCCACCTGCCTCTGCCTTCCATGGTGCTGGGATTACAGGCATGAGCCACTGTACCTGGCCATAGCTCTATTTTTAGTTTTTTAAGGAACTTCCAAGCTGTTCTCCACAGTGGCTGTACTAATTTACATTCCCACCAACAGTGTGTGAGAGTTCCCTTTTCTCCACATCCTCGCCAGCATCTGTTATTGCCTGTCTTTTTGATACAAGCCTTTTTAACAAGGGAAAGATGATATCTCATTGTAGTTGTGATTTGCATTCTCTGATGATCAATGATGTTGAGCACCTTTTCATATGCCTGTTTGTCATTTGTATGTCTTCTTTTGAGAAATGTCTATTCATATCTTTTGCCCATTTTTAAATTGGATTTTTTTTGCTTAGAATTGTTTGAGCTCCTTATACGTTCTGGTTATTAATTTCTTGTCAATGGATAGTTTGCAAATATTTTCTCCCATTCTGTGGGTTGTCTCTTCACTTTGTCATTTCCTTTGCTGTGCAGAAGCTTTGTAGCTTGATATAATCTCTCTTTTCTATTTTTGCTTTGTTGCCTGTGCTTTTGAGGTCTTTGTGTACAGGTTTTTGTGTGGATGTATGTTTCCTCAGAAGCTAACTTTTCGAACCAGACATCTAGTAGCATTTTTGTAACTTTCCAGATGTTCAACTCTTTGAACAGTTGAACTGAGGGAATCTTGCCCATGTTCTGCCTCACCTTCCTCCAGGGAACTCCGGCCGAATCCCGGGAGAAGAACCGTGAGTGCATTCTGCTGGATTTCTTCGATGACCATGACATCTGGCACTTCCTCTCTGCCACTGCTCTGTTTTTCTCATTCTTGGTGAGTTCATATCTATCTTTTTGTGACTTCCTTCTCTCTTTACATCTTGTACTCTCATTTTCTTCTTCTGCTCTTCCTTACATTGTTTTTTTATATTCCTCTCTAATTTTACTTTCCATTTCCTCCTTGTAATTCAATATACAGACCATCTTATTTCTTTTATAAATTTTATGTCCTTTGGTTAGATCTTTAGTTTTTCTTTTACCCTTCAATATCTTTAGACACAGAGGCACAAAATTATTTTCCCTAAGTTGCACAGCACATTTTTTCTGAATTGGTTATTAGACCCACATGCCCGAAAATCCCCCAGGAACCACTTTTAGCAATTCCGATAACATTGGGTTATTCTTTCTCATGCCATACTCACATTCCTCCTCCTCCTCCTCCAGTCTCCCTGAATATTTCAGAAATATTTTACATATTCCTTAAGTGGCTTGGGATAGCAGCCATGCCTCTGTTGCCTTCTGATCAGTCTGTCCCAAAATCTCTCCTGTAGTTTCTCTGTTTTTTTGCCCCAACCCTTTCTCAGAAGCCATGCGTATTTATATCAACCCTGAATTATAGTTCCATCCTTTAATCGTAACTTTGACTTTCCCCAATTAAAAGTCCATGGTGCCTGTAGGCAGGTTCAATCGACAATTAACAACCCTACTAGACTCCAGGCTCCAGACCTACGAGACGCCCGGGCTCCACGCTAAGCGGGCTCAGGCGGGCCATATAACTTCAAGGGTGGAGCAGGGCTCCCCCCAGTGGCCAGTTTGGGAAGCTTAGCCAATCTGTATAAACATTCCTTGTCTTTTACTTCTGATTGTCACCTTCATGAGAGAGAGACAACAAAAGTGGAACCAAAGGTTCCACGTGGGGACAGTAGTAGTCGAGGGAACTAGAAATGGAGGAGAAGGGTACATTTCTTATATAGTAACACTCTATCCAACAGGACTTCATTCCCTTTGACTCTTGACCTAAATGTCCCCTAAGTAATGACTTCCCAGGCCACCCTATCAAAATTTTTTACCTCCCCACACCTGATACTTCCTATATTCCCTCCATTATTTAACTTATATCCTTAGCACTTATTACTATCTCACGGGCTATATTTTACTCATGTATTTGTTTCATGTCTAAAGCCCTCTTTAGAATGTAAGCTACATGGAGAATAGGGATTTTTGTCTCTTTCATTACAAACTATATCTCCATAGAATCTGGAATAGCACATCATAAACCTTCATGAATATTTGAATTAATTGACAAATGAATTGTATTATTAGAGTAAGTGCCTATTAAGAGCAAGGGATTGCAGAGAGCTGCAGAAGGGATGAGAATGAGAGGGAACTAACAGTTTCCAGTCTGTGGGCATCTCAGAGAGAAAACAGGACTTAGTGTGGCAGTGACTGTTCATTCCTTTCATTTCTCTGTCCCTCTCGTTTCAGGTTTTGTTAACTTTGGATGATGACCTTGATGTGGTTCGGAGAGACCAGATTCCTGTCTTCTGAACCTCCAACATTAAGAGGAGGGGAGGGAGCGATCAATCTTGGTGCTGTTTCACGAAAATTACAGTGACCGCAGCAAAGTAACCACTGCCAGATGCTCCACTCACCCTCTGTAGAGCCAGCTCTGCTTTCACACAGGAAGGACAGGGGCTGCGGGAGATTTAAACCTGCAAGAAGGGAGGCAGACGGGGAGCCATGTTTTGAGGATAGACGCAAACCTGAGGAGCTGAGAAGCACTCACTTCTTCCATCTGCAGCTCTGGGAGTGCAACAGGGACAGGCGCTGCATCCAAGTCAACTCGCCATCTTGGGGCCCCTCCCACCCTCAAGGAGACTTGGCGGCAATGGCAGAATGCTGCTGCACGCTTCCCTCCGGTTGTCGCCCTGCCCAGAAAGGCCAGCAGCTTGGATTCCTGCCCAGAAACTGTGTTGGCCCCCTTCACACCTCTGCAACACCCGCTGCTCCAGCAGGAGGATGTGATTCTTTAGAATATGGTGGGGAGGTGACCCCAGGCCCTGCCTTGCTGGGATAGATGTTCTAGTGGCACCAGCTAGTCACCTCCCAGAAGAAACTCTGTATATTTCCCCCAGGTTTCTGATGCCATCAGAAGGGCTCGGGAGTGGGGTTTGTCACACATTCCTGTTAACAAGTAACTGTCACTGGGACCAAGGCCTGGGTGCTTACATATTCCTTCGTGTCTTCATCTCACTGACCTGTGTGGACCTCATCACTTTGACTCTGCCTTCTTGGAAAGGCCCTGTCACTCCACAGATGTCTGGCCAGCTTCAAGGCAGAAGGAGAAACAAGAAAAGCTCTTTTAACAGCAGCACGAACAAGAGAAATGACTAACCATACTAAAAGACTGGTAGCAGCAGCAGCCAGACAGGCCTCACCTTAAGGACTTGGGCTGCCAGAGCAAATTCAGCAGAGTGAGCAGTGCTTACTTGGCCCTCCCACTCACACAGCTCAGTTCTGTGCCCACATCACCTTTAGGGAAGAAATCAGCGTTCTAACCAGGGACACTACTTCAGGAGTCCTCCACAGCAAGTCTGCCATCTGTCACTTTATGTAGATCAGGGTTCTGGGCTTCCTCCCTGAAGTTCTCAGAAGCAACTCTCAGGATGCACAGCTAATCTAGTATTGTCTAGTATTGTCTCTCGGTTGCACCTGACTCTCATTCTCTCCCCAGTAAGGTGTTGGCAAGCTCAGCATCCGGGTTCCACTCTCACACTGTCTGGCATTTCTGTGTCCGAGAAGTCCTACACTGACCAGGCTCCCTTGTTGCCTGGAGTATGACGTAATCAGAAAATAGACGCATAAATGTGCACATGCGTATATATTTGCTTGTGAAATTAAAGTCACCTCTCGCCTCTGCTTTCCTGATCATTTGTTAGAGACATGGATCAGGAATTTTTTAAAATTATTATTCTTTCTCTAAACTATTTGCATTGTGTTCATAAACCCATTTTAGAAGTTTGAACAGCAAGCTTTTCCTGATTTTAAAAACACAAAGATGCTTTCAATGAACTATTCTGTGATTTTTTTTTAAAGTCCCCAAATGTGTACTTAGCCTTCTGTTATTCTTTATTCTTTAAGAAGTGTTGGCTTCCACTGACCATATGAAGGCCACAAATTAAATGGTTGTGTTAATCCAACATGTAAAAAAAAATTTTGGTGGGGCCCAGTGGCTCACGCCTGTAATCCCAACACTTTGGGAGGCTGAGGCAGGAGGATCACTTGAGCCCAGGAGATTGACGTGCAGTGAACTATGATTGCGTCCCTGCACTCCAGCCTGGATGACAGAGTGAGACCCCTATCTCTTAAGAAATAAAAAATAATAAAGATTTGAACCTGTTTCACTATGGCTGGTTTGACCTAATTTCTTTATCTTCACGCACTATGATTTCTAATCCACAGAAGATGAAGGGAGGAAATGTGAGCACAAAGTCCATTCAAGTCGCCCTGTGGCTGAAGTGAATAAATTTTCAGATGCATAACCTGTTTGGTAGCTTGTTCGGGAAAATGTGAGTCAAAATGGGGAGAGGGCCCTGGAGGAAAGGGTGGACTGTGCTGTTGGAGCCTTCACTGTTTTCTGATCACGTCTGTCTTGTGCTACAAACTCACACCCTGTGGTCATTTTTGTTCCTGCAACAGTACTGAAAATCCAGACCAGGCTTGTGTTTACAAATACCAGTTCTAAACGTACGTGTTGCTAATTCTTTCCACAGCGCCAGTTTCACGGTTGGAAGACATAAAGTCATTCAGCTGTATCTGTAGGATTTACACAAGTGCTGGGGTGGAGGGGAGCACGGAGAGCTTAAAGAGCTTAACGAGCCATTTCTGTAGTACAGTGTCTATGATAACTCTCGCCCGGGTTCATGGACTTCACTCTTTAAAAGGGAAAGGAAGAGTTACTCAGAAAGCCAAGTTCAACAGCAGCGTAACTGGAGAAAAGCAGTCACTGTGAAGAGCCTGTTGGCAAAGTAAGCACAGAAGTAATAAGAGCGGTTCAGCTGGAGCAGGACCGAGATGTAGCAGCCAGAGGAGCAAAGCTGTGCACATAAAAAATGACCTCTTCACACCCCTGACAAATGCTGGAGAAGCAGCCCGACCTCTTTATGCTCCACGGTTTACTGATGGATTCGCCCGGTTTTATTTTAGCAGCAGGAGAAGCCAGTGGAATGCCGGAGTCTATCTGGGGAAGGGACTTTCCATGACTGAAGGAGGTCACTGAGCTAGCTCCTTGGGGCAAAGAAAATGGCAGCTGCTCTCTATGTAACTCCAGGCACCCACCAGAAGTTTCTGTGGGGTCACAAAATGCATGCGTTGGTAAATCAAATACCCAAATCCTCCTCAATATGGGTGATAGTCTCTATCCAAAACTTAGGGGAAAGGGAGGAACAAAGATAAACACTACTCACAGAAGGAACAGTACAATCTGTGGAAGATTCTGGAGTCCCCCTACTCGTGGTGTGCCCATGGGTAAGTGGCTGAAACTCTCACATCCTCAGCTGGCACATCTCCGTGATTCTATGTGAGAATGGTGAAGGTGGAGGTGTGCAGGGTACCAGCAGCAGTGCTTGCTCACGCAGACGGGATCCTCAGCTCACCCTCCTGAATCCCACAGGGAGGCAGGGCAAGAGTGGATCCGTCGGCCAGTCTGGGATCTCTCTCCTCCAGGGGCTCTTCATTGAAACCAACTGTTCCATTTCCTGTCCTCCGCCCCAGGAGGCCCTGAACAGGTTGGGAGGCCTCTTCACCTTCAGAGACACTGCCCACAGCTGTTCAGCCTCCTCCCATCCCTACCCCCATCTTTGTCCTTTGTGACTGCATTTCCCTGACTCTGGCCCTGAATATCCTTATTCCACCTCCGATGAAAAAAAAAAAAAATGCTACCAAAGCTAGGGCCAAGTGGGAAAGCCTGGCTCTCTATAATGTGACACCTCATCACTGCTGTCTTTGCCCTGGGAATCTCAAGGAAAACCTAGGTTTTCTCCTCTCGAGTAGCTGTTTATTACAACCCTGTTTCAGGCAATGCCACGTGCAAATGTTTCCCTCCCTTCGCACCCTTATTACCAAACATTCTGTAGGACAAGCTTGTGTCTTCAGCTAAGGAGAACGCTTCAGCCTACAGGTGACAAAACAGGCCCTGAAAGCAGAAGCATGGTTTTGAAATGAACCACCATGAATCTAATGTCCCTGGTGAAACTAAGAAGAAGCACTATCGGTAAAGATTCTATTTGCTCTGCTCGAGTCAATGGAAAATGCTTGTTTACCGTGATTCCACCCAGCTTGTAGTAGTTTTGTTTGTTGTTGTTGTTGTTGTTTTAACACTGGAGGAGACAAGATATATTTACATGGCTAAGTTTTAATGTCTCTTCAAGACGAAGGCACCTTTGTTAACAAGGTTAAGTGCATGTTAAATCTTAGGCCTGAATGTTCACGAATTCGAGGAATCTGGGGAAGAGTCACAGATCAGCCTTCACCGCTAAGTTTCTGGAACACCAGAGCAAGAGGGTTTCACCTGGGTCTCCTCTGTAGAAAGAGACCTCTACTCAATGAACTCCAAGGCAGGGCCTGTTTACACTGGACAGCTTTCCTGAAGCATGGTCTTGCTATTCTTATTGGAGTACAAAAAAGACTAGATGGTCACCGTTGTTCATGAAGAAGTACCCTTTGCTCCCCCAATTTTAGAGAGAAGATCCCTGCCTTCTTCTTAAATATCTCTAGATTAAGAGATTTTATCATTTTCCCCGAACTCTCCAAATTGTTTAAGTTTCCCGGCTCTGTCCTACATCCTTTTGTCTACCTTGAAGTCCCTGTCATCTAAGGTTTATTCATTTCAATGGAGATGAACAATAGCTGGCATTTTTGTAACATAAAAGAGCCTTGAAGTCATGTTACATTTCAGTCAAGTGCTAAATAAAAACTAGGGGTCCCATCTCCGGTCCCAGCATTATAGTTATGATTTAGAAATCAACAGATTTAAACAGTGGAAGATTTTCAAATCAGGGCAAGAGAAATCTGATATCCAGTCTCGACATGGCTTGCTCCTGGGCCCCTGTTTTATATTTAAATCTTGACTTTTTTGTGTGAATTATGACTCTAGGTGCTTTAAGCGGAATATCAGCCAAAATAATTCAAACAATCTCTCTTTTGGGGTGCTGCAACATTACCATCCCAGGAAGAAGTGGGTTTGCATTTTATGATTTACATTAAATTGTTTATCTGAACCTTTCACAAGGCACCCTGGTACTAGACAGGCCTCTTCTAGGAAACAGGACATATTTAGGCATGAGGTTTACTCTGCTTTTATCTCAACATGGGACACCTTGCAAAGTAATAAGCTTTTTGAGGGGGTGCATTTCCCCTTTATTCTCTCATCACATCTCTGTTCACTTACATAGAATCAGAAATACAGTTTTACTAAACAGTCAGGAAATATGTGGGCTAGGCACTGTGAGAAACTGGGCACAGCAGTGAACAAAATGCACACCATCCCTTCCGACATGTGGTCTACAGTCCATTAGGGCAGATGGACATGAAAAAAACAAATGATTATAATCTCTTTGTGATAATCAGGCCAAAAACTACAAGAAGAGACATCCTTATAAGAATCTTATCATTACGTGCAGAACAGAAAAAAAATTCAAGTAATTGTCAGCAGTGTTTATGCTGAAATGTAAAGCCCTAATTGCTGATAGCATCTCTCTCACAACCGAATTCCTTGAGAGCATATTTGGTTCTGGAGACTTCCCTAAGAGACCTCTTCAGGGAGGTTCAGGCTTTCTCTGTCTATGGTTCCCAGTTCGACCACAAAACCAAACACAGAAATAAAGTAATTAGGGAGACCCTGCTTGGGCTCTGGTATCAGAGAAGGATGCTGGTTCTCAGGGAAGGGTGACTTTGAAGAAATAGGCTTCTCACTGAGATTCCTCCAAACATGTCTGAGAATTTCAAGTTGACTTTCAAAGGCTAGAACTTTATAATAATTATGTGGATGGAACGTTCACAAAAAGGAAAACTGAGATGCAGCAAGAATAACATAAACCTGGAAGACCTCGAATGGAGACTCATTCGAAGGTCAAGCTCAAGCAGTTAGTGATTTCTGAAAGTCTAAAGGGGAAGGGAACAGATATCATTTTAGCCTGAACCATCCCTAAAAGCTGTAAATGTGGAAGATGACTTTAAACAAGAAGGTCAATGAGACTGGATTGGGACAAACAGGGAAAGATAGCTGCTGCTTTGAGTAATGGAAGTTAAGAGCTAAGCTAGAATTACTTAACTTCATGAAAAGCATTGGGTAGTAGTGTTGATGGCACAGATGACGCATGGAGCCTGCAGAAGGCTGTTTCAGTGTCTATAAAATGGGTTGCGGAGAGGGGACTAAAGGAGGAGGAAAAACTTTTGAAGTGGTGGGTTTTATCTTGTTTTCAAACAAACTGAAAGCAAAAAGAAAGGAAGCCTTGGGGTCCACTGAGCTGAGACTACAGCGACTACTTACTACAGGCAGAATTTTAAAATATCATATTGGGACTAACAGGGAAGCTTACAGCCTATCGGACACCTACAGCCTAGACTGACCTGCCCTGGGGAGGTGAATAACTATCATTCCTAGGTAAAAGGGGAGAAGTCAGAAAAATAAGAGAGATGATTTAACTGATGACTTCAAAGTTTTCATAAGAAAAATGAAAGTCCCAGTTTTAATCTCAGCAGAAAACAGAGATCTAGAGAGAAGGATAATTGGAGTGGGGATGATTTTATTCCGTACTCGAAGAAACAAAAATAGCTCCTCTGCCTAACTCTTCCTAAGAGGTTGCAACAACCTCACTCTGCTAGAGGACAAGTATGGGACTGAAGCTTTCAGTCTGCCCTCTTAGTGGGATCTTACTATTGGAAACTCATGTCCTCAATTCCTACCTTCCAATTTCTACTTATAGAACATTAAGGTTGGCATAACTGGTCATTAAAACAGCCACCATTTGGCTGGGTGCGGTGGCTCACATCTGTAATCCCAGTACTTTGGGAGGCCAAGGCGGGTGGATGGCTTGAGGGCAGGAGTTCAAGACCAGCCTGGCCAGTGTGGTGAAACCCCCGTCTCTACCGAAAATACAAAAAATTGTGGCCCGGCACAGTGGCCCATGCCTGTAATCCCAGCACTTTGGGAAGTCGAGGCGAGTGGATCATCTGAGGTCAGTAGTTTGAGCCCAGCCTGGTCAAAATGGCAAAACCCTGTCTCTACTAAAAATACAAAAAAAAAAAAATTAGCCAAGTGTGGTGGCTTGCATCTGTAATCCCAGCTACTCGGGAGGCTAAGGCAGAAGAATCGCTTGAACCTGGAAGGCGGAGGTGGCAGTGA